GCCGGTGGTGATCTAAGGAGATTTGGACTTCAAATGATTTGTTTATTTTTGTTTGATAGGCTGAACTCTTGTATGTTATCTCTTTTAATCATGGACTTTTGCATATCAGTTCATTTACAAGAAAGTTTAAATCCCATACGTTATTCTCTGCATTAAGAGATTTAAGTTCAGAGGGCCCCTTGGAGAAATGGCTGATTCTAGGTCTGGGCCAAGGTAATCAATCACAAGACTGCCTACAAGACCTTGTGCCACAAAGTGCTCAAAGAAGATGGGGACGTGCCACAAGTATAGAATCCTGCTTAAGCAGGCCTCTCCTGACCAAATTTGGGACAATTTAATCATCCAAAAGAATAATGAAAGAATAGATTGCAGAATTAAGTACAGAAAGAATATATGATCTTTTAGGGATTATACAGTGAAATAATATGGATGAGTTTATGGGTCTGGATTAATTTCAAAATAACATTGGGCAGGGGGAGGGGGAAAGTGGGAGCAGGTGGGGTCTGGATCAAACAACAATAGTGTGAATTGGTAAGCAGAGTGGCGGATTGAGCCTGGGGCTCATTACTATTTTGTCTGCTTTTGTTGGTGTTTATAATTCCCCATAATTAAAAGTTTAAAAATGAATGCAAACCCCTCCCCTCCAAAAACCAAAAAACACTGAGTTCACAGCATTACTGGGAAAAAAAAAAAATGAGAGGGAGAAGAAAAAGCTCTTCTTTATGGAAAAATCCCAGCCAATAATTGTAGACAGGAAAATACAATTTAGAAAATCATCATTTTGCACCCACCCATGTGTATTCAGGTAAGGATCTTCAACGGAGTCTCAAACCACTGGGTGAGAGGCTGGGAATAGTCACGTGGTCCCAAAGCACCCTCCTAGAGATTTCTCCTTTACAAAGGGCACAAGGTACCTTTGAGTATCTTGAGGAGAATCCTGGCAGAAGCCACCTTAGAATCGCCAGTAATAGGACCAACCAACATTATGTCCACCACCAAAACCATTTAGCTTAAATCTAACCATCAGGAAACAATCAGACAACTCCACACTGAGGGCCCGCCACAAGACAACTGATCTGGGCTACTGTGGACTAGAGACACAACAATAAATGAAATCAGTGCTCTCTGACTGGATTCTAGAGTGAAACATTGTTGTAAAGGACATTTCTGGGTCAGCTGGAAGAACTTTGATGTAATTTAACTGTATTAATGTTAATTTCTTGGGCATGATAGTGACATTGTTGTGTTGAAGAGGGAACTTGCCTTTAGAAGATGCCTGCTTAAGTATTTAGGGGTAAGAGGTCAAGACGTCTGCAACTTGCTTTCAAGTTCACAGAAAAAAGTGTGTGTGTGTGTGTATGTGTGTGTGTGTGTAGAGAGAGACACACAGACACACACAGATAAAGCAGATGTTGCAAAATGTAAACAACTGGTGAATCTAGGTGGATGGGTTCACTGTACCCTTCCAACTTTTTCTGTGGGTTTGAAAGTTTTCACAATACAAAAGGTGGGGTGGGGACTTAAGTTTATTTCACAAGAAGCTCATTACATTGGTTGCCTGTGGGACAGAAGGAGGGAAATTTTTCACTGTAGTACAGCTGAACCTTGAACAACATGGACTTGAACCACACAGGTTCACTTCAGTATGTGAATTTTTTCCAATAAACATATAGGAACTGTAAATAAATATGAATTTCTTTTTCACATTACTTTTTCATTTTTGATATCTAGTATATGTATAAAATATACAGTGTTTTGTATCACATATGAATATTGATGTAGATATTGACAGATGATTCATCTTATAAACAGATGACATAAACTTACAGTATCAATACAGTACAGTACTGTAAATGCATTTTCCTTACGACTTTCTTAACATTTTTTTTCTCTAGCTTACTTTATGATAAGAATACAGTATAGAATACATGTAACATACAAAATATGTTGATCAACTGTTTATGTTATCAGTAAGGCTTCCAGCCGTCAATAGGCTCTTAGTAGTTATGTTTTTGGGGAGTCAGGTTATACACAGATTTCTGATTGCATGGGGTCAGTGCCCCTGACCCCTGTGTTGTTCGAGGGTCAACTGTATGTACCCTTTGTGTACCTTTTGGAGTGCAAACCAAATAAATGTATTATCTATAACAAGATAAATAAAATTTGTATTTCAAAACTTACTTCTCTTAGTGTTAACCCTTTATAGTATCAAAACTTGCTGAATTAAATTTCCCCAACCAAACACTGAAGACCCCAGATAATGGTATTTTTGTTTATTACAATGTTCTACAAAGTAGTTTATATAGAAATTTTGCCCAGAAATTATAAAGGAAACGAGTCACCATAAGTGTTTCTGGATGTCCTGGGGGTTGAAATTTAGATGACACCTCAACACTTTTCTGACTCATTCTGCATCCAAGGCTGTGTCCTCATTCCATTCCAATACCCCTGATGTTTTCACTGTTCCAGAAAACCTACAGCAGAATACATCTGATAGAATGCAACTGACCTAGTTCCCAGTACTTTTTTGGCATTAAAAGTCACACAAGATTACTTCAGAGCTGCCAGTGTAGGCTTCTTGTTACTTTTGGATAACAGAAGTTTTGGGAGTCAGAGAGAGGCTTTTTTCCCCATTGAAGCACTGTTTATTATGTACGGAAAAAAATACAGGAAAGACCATGCTGTGGCTAATTATGTGTAATTAATTATAACAAACAGAGCAGATCAGTGCAACACGATCCTCAAGTTATACAATTAAATAACATCTATGATGTGTGCAGAGATAGGTATGCATATGCCACGCCTGTGCTTGTGTATGCAGAGGATATCTCTGGGAGGATATAAGAAGCCTAGAAACAGTGGTGGCCTCTGGGAGGGAAACTTGGGCACTGGTAGAAAGACCGACTTTTCATGCTAAATTATTTTGGAATTGTTTTAAGTTTTTACTAATTGCATATTTTATTTATTTTTAAAAATGCATAAATAGGTTTTGATAGATGCTGTCCAGGTATCATCCCCTCTGTACAGGGTAAGTTTTTAAAACCAGAAGAAAATGGAAATAACCTGTAATTCTACCTCAGAGAACTGCTACTAATGTTATACTGTATTTCCTTCTAATGAAGTTATGTACTAACTTCTAATGCCGTTTCTGGATGTTTCATAAATAGGAGGGTTTTCTGTTTTCTAATTTACCACACTGTCCCCATGATTTTTCTAAAAGAGAAAATTTTACATTTAAATGTGCACTTAAAATTATTTTGTGAGCCTTTTCCCAGATCTTGTTATTTTTGGAAAACATTTTAAGTGGCTGCATAGTACTTCATCATATCCAATAATTTTCCTCTTGGACACTTGGGTTTTTTAGAAAACTTTTTTGCAACCCAAGTACAGAAGAGTATCTATGTATATTAAATTTTGAGTAAGAAAGGAAGGGGAATAAGACAGTATACATGTATCTGCTCATTCAAGTAAGAATAAACATGAGATAAATAAACTAGAATTGAGCCAGGTGACTATAGGGGATGGGGAGACCTGGCAGGAAAGGATGGGGGTAGGGGGGCAGGTGAAGGGGCAGGGAGGAGCGAGCAAGCTGCTCTTGGCACACTTTTGGCAAAGCCCTGACTTCCAGCACCATGCTAAAGGTTCACACATTCAAAAGAAATTAATAAGTAAAATCAATAAGGATAGTGGGGAAAGAATCCTAAAATGAAACACAAATAAGCAGAACTACATTTCAAATGAATAGCATAACCAACTAAGGAAGGAGGAAAAAACTACTAACCTAAGTACTGTAACTTTTGAGCACAGTGTTTTGACTATCCGCCTTCTAAGCAATGACAGAACAGCAAACCAATGCTGAAGTCTAATCAGTGGGTTCGTTGTTCATAGCGTTACGGATTAGCAATTCTGAGACTATTTTCTGGGTACTCTAGGATTGAGCAAACAAGTAAACATATTGCAGAATCTTCCTCACTGCCAGAAAAGAGAGTTATAAATATGGAAATGTTACAAATTCGTTTTCATAGTGGTATGGATTAGCACTTCTGAGACTATTTTCTGTGTGTTCTAGGATTGAGCAAATGAGTAAATAAATTGATGAGCTGCCTTCATCACTGTTAGAAAAGAGTTACAAATATGGAAAAGGAGACTTGGATAATGAGCCCGGTGGCCTTGGATTAGACTTGGAAGCATCAATTTGAATTCATGGTTTTTAATATACATTGATAGATATATACAGAGGTGGAACTAGAACATGCTCAGAATGACTGGGCCCCAAAGCGACAGGACTTCAAGGATCAGCAGATGAGGTGGGGGACCATAGCTGGTGACATTTGAGATGCTTTTCAGATGCATAATCCTTATGTGACTTTACTGATTAGCCATAGCAATTTACCTGCACAATCACAAGGTAAGAGCAAGTTCAGATACTTGGTCAATTGACAGTTTCCTGGGACCCACCCCCAACTAACTGCCAGGCATCCCTGTTGAGTGACTCTGAGTCCCTAAGCCTTTCCAGTTGGCACCCAAGGAACAGCCACGATTTCATCCATTTCACACTCACTTGACCCAAGGAAATAATCTAAAATAAGCTTTCATTTTAAATGCCCACACTACATTCCATTAAGTATATATATATATTAATATTGGCTCTTACTGAGTACTTGCTATTTGCCAGGGACTATGGTAAGTGCTTTATGTGGATTATCTCTTTTAATCCTCCCAATGACTCCATGGGATGGTGGTGTTAGGAGGAAAATTAAGTCTAGAGGGTTAAAAATAAAGCTTGCATTCAAATCCATGAGTCTGTCTTTAGAATTTCCACTCTAAACCACCGTGCTACACTGGATAAACAATTTTAATTAAGAAGAAAAAAGGCAACAGGTTGAAAATTTTAGGTTAATAAATGGGGAGCCTAGGATGAAAATTATTTTCTATTACATATGCATTACATTTTTCCACTCTCTAATCATGCAAACACTCACTTGATAAAGGGGGCATACCTGACAGAAGAACTGTTGCTGGGTTCCTGCTCCAGGCATGTTACTGAAGGTGCTGGTAGATTTGGAAGAAGAAACTGGAAGACGATGACACACACTGACAGGTAATGGAGTCCTGTTTGGCTGGGTCAGCTGGTCTCCCGTGAAGTTCACTCCTGATGCACCTGACTGAACCGTAGACCCAAGGCTGGGATGGGCAGTGCTGGACGAGCTGACAACAGGGAACCGACTAGGTCCGGACATGTTAGTCACTGAGGGCATGGTGGCGAAGCCAGGTCGTCCTTGGGAGATGCTGCCCTGCCCAGGTGACAAGTGTAACACGGTTGGTGACACCTGCTGCAAGGGCACCTGGCCACCGGCAATCTGGGGAGAGGCATGGTTGAGTATCACGGGACTTCCGGAGGCAGCAAATGTCTGCCCAGACACTAGCTGGACGGCGCTATTCTGGCTGTTAAGCATCTGTCCAGAATATGGTTGGTTGGTCCTGAGCATGTTGGAAGAGTTCCTGTTCAACATGACATGCTCTGAGGCCACTTGGCCAGAAATGAGCTGAGAGGGCTGAGTCTGAACAAGTTGCCCATTTATGGTCTGGACGTGGTGTACCGAGTTGGAACTGACGGAAAGGCTTGTAGGTATGAGGAACTGACTTTGGGGTGTGTGAGGCTGGCCCATGGGAGAATGAATGACGATACTGCCACCAGCGCTGCTCACGGCCTGTGAGGTGACTGGTTTTCTTGTGTTCTGTTGGTTTACAATGTTCACAGACATGTGCGGACCAACTACCGAGCCCTGGGGTGAGCTGGCAGAGGCAAAAGAGATCCCTTGTTGAACATGGTGCTGCTGTATTCCCAGATTGTTCACATTGTATGTGTTTTGTTGACCCATCTGGAGAGGCTTTGGCTGGATATTAATTGGGACTTTATTTGAATTTGGTGCAAGACCCCTTTGTATGATGATGTTATGCACAGGTAAAGATGTTTGAAAATTTGTGCTGTTAAATGGAACGGTAACAGGCTGTGCTACTGGGCTGGAATTGGAGTTCCCAAACAAGGCGTTGCCATTAGGGGTCTGTCTATGAACCAGAAGCCCTCCACTCACATTTGATGGAGCTTGCTGCCCGCTGCCCTTTAATATGATTTGAGAGCCATCTAGGTTATTAATAGTCATCATGGAAGGTTGATTAGCAAACGACCCAATTAGTTGAATATGACCAGAACCACCAATCTGACTGCTATTAGACAAATGCTGGCCGGGAACACTGATGCCCACATGTTGCATGAAGCCATGTTGCACACCCACTGTATTGCTTGCAAATGATGCTCCAACAGGCACATGGGTCACCCCGATAGGCTGCAGTGTCTGACCTGAGTAATTAGAAACATTAGAAGCCTGAGTAAAGGATGCTGATGAAGAAGGATGAAGCTGAGCTTGTGCAAACTGTTGGCTTGAACCTATACTGGCATCCAGATATGCCTCTTCTGCCAACGTCTGTTCAGTGATATTGGCCTCCTGCAAGGATTTCTGAAGAATGTCGAAAGGTTGGTCCTCACTGAGATCAGGGAGAGGAGAAGACTCAAGTTCATCTTCAAGAAACTGAAGGCTACTTGAAAGTGGCAGTCCATCACTAGGCCCTTCTCCAAGTTGGTTGCTTACAGCTTTGAGGGATGACTTAGGATCAGCATTCTGAAAAAATAAGCAGTATGTTACATATCCAACCTTTGAAAGAGGTTCTTAGAAAAAAATTAGTCTCACTTTTGAATATCAGTAAACATAAGAGTCTGCTTTTCAGGCACAACTCTCCAAATTGCTTATCTTATTCTGATACTTCATTTGCTTAGTAATGTTGTTAAACATTATTTTTGTAGGTATATGCATTCATTGCTCTGGTAAATTATTTTATAGAAATGGGTAAATAACAGGAACACACCGATGACTACCTGGAGTTTAGCTTCGTTTTTTTGAGATATGGCACAGACTTCATTTTCCAGGATTGGTCCTAGTCTGAGACTTAAGGGGGCTCAGCCCAGGGTTGTGTGTGTGTGTATCCAGGAGTGGGCCACGTCTAGGCCTCAGTGCCACAAATGTCTAAGAGAGTTTTGGGAATTCTGAGTGTTGTTCTAATAGAGGTCTGCATCCCAGATGTAGCACTGTCTTTCCAGGTCCCTCAAAACTCCCCTAGTTTCAACCCTCCCACCCTGGGTGAAACCAGTCCAGGTAAAAACAAGCTTCCCACATAAAATGAGTGAATAGTTATTTGGTATCTTAGAAGGAATCAGGTTATTATGATACTTTAAAAATGACTTCAGTGTCCTATTCAAAAGTGAAATCCCATTAACATTTGGTTATCAAGCACCCTGTGTATTAGTGTCTGTCCTTAAACAACAGGCATTCCAATCAGAGACAACACAGGCATATGAAGAGAATTGACCACGGTCACTGATAAATAGCATATACTTCACTGACAAGCAGTTTCTCATGGGACATGTTAAAATTATAAAAGAAAATATATGGAATCGACAGCTATTTAAAATAAGGTGAAGACAATGTAGATATATTTAACACTACTAAACTGTACCCTTAAAATGGATAAGATAGTAAATTTTATGTTATATGTAAACACAATTAAAAATGTAAAAAGAAAGTGAAGAAAATAATTAAAAATAGATCACTCAAGAATGAATGTTCCAACTGGCAAAACTGTAGAGATCCTCAGCTCTCAGCTAGTAAGATGCTGGGGGCTGGATGATGCAAAGAACTAAGTGGGAAAGCCAAGACTAGTTCATTCGACCGCCAATCAATCAATAGTTGAAATGGGATGAATGTGGAAGGACTCACAGGGTCATCTGAAAGGAAATGGGGAAAGCAACTGAAAGAAAGCAAGGAGGATATTTTTTTGCAGTGCAGTCTCAGGGCAGCAATGGCTAACTCCTTCCTGAGTGGTGCTACATGCTTTAATGTTTTCACAGTGCACAAATTAATAGACTGTAGGTTTAAATGCCCATATTTTTCAGAGCTTTTAAAATATTTCTACTATACCTGACATGATGCAATAGAAGTTCCCAGTAAATACACATGAATGAAGCAGTCTGAAAAGTTAGAAGTAATTTTCATGTGGAAGGCGGAGAGCAGGTAGGTAAATAAAAATCATTAATGTGGAGGGAAAGGCTACCTATCTACTTTATGTGCTTAATGGCATCACGTGCAGTTACTACTTGCTCAGAATGAATTTCAGAAATGCTACAGATTCACAGCCTTACAGAAAATCGGTGTGGTGAGATGCCCCTAGCTTGTGTAGGTGTCTTTCATGATTTGATCTGATGTACCTTACACACACTCAAATACTTGATAAAAAATTGTGCATTCCTAAAGGTTTTCTGAGTACTAGTCCTTTTGAAAGACGAAGAAAATAAAGGCTCTGATGATGATAAGAAGCCAACATTTATTGAGCACTGTACAAAGTAATTTCCATGGACTAGTCAGTTAATCTTAACCGTCTGCTGAAGCAGTTCTATTACTGTCCTGGTTTCATAAATAAGGAAATCGAACCTTGCAGAGATTAACGATACAGCCAGGGTTGCACAGCTGAGTGGCAGAGTGAGCATCCAGATTTGAGCAGTCTTTTTCTTGACTACCATCTATGGTAGAATAGGGTAGTTTGAAAGACTAAAGTAACATAGGCTAGAACACAGCAGGCTGGACACAGTCTCCAGGCAGGACTTCCCTATACCAGGTCAGGTTTCTTGTCTAGATGCTTATGAATATGGGCTCCAGAACCTGGTGGCCAGGGTTAGAATCCTAGTTCTGCAACTCCCGGCTGTGTATTGTGGGCAAGCACTAACCTCTTTGTGTTTTAGCTTCCTCATCTATAAAATATGAATAATAAGAGAGCCTACTTCATGGAGTTATTGTGAGGATTAATGAAGCAAATTATGTTAAAACCCTAATGTCCAGAACATACTAAGAGCTCATTTAGTTGCAGTTACTAATGTCTTTTTTTTTCTCATTTAAGAAGAAAATTCTTAGCAAGTAACTTCAATTAAGAATAGTTTCTTTAAAGTTATATAACAAGGTTCAGAACATTCTCATATGACTTTCTTAGGTTGTGACATTTCTGAGTCATTTTAGAAGAAGGTTGAAAGCTTAGGAAAACAGCAAAGTATATTTCATATAACCTTTGCATCTCCCTAGCTGCTCAATAAATACCTGAATGAATAAAAAAAATTTCATATAGCTGCCTTCACTAAGTAAAAAATAGTAAATATCAACACTTAATAGATTTTCCTTCTATGTCAATTATAAAAGACAAGGTAACAATTCTTATCATGATACAAAGGCACTTAAGCCTCAATTCACAAGGCATCAATGAAACACACTTGATCACTGATTACATTCAGTTTCCAATACTCACACTAGAGTTGGCGAAAATTGAGTTTGAATTGGCTGCAGAGTATCCTGCATTAGTCAAGTCATCATTGCTCTGCAAAGGTACAAATTCAATAAAATGAATATTTTAACTGTAAAGAGGAAATGAAATTTATATCTGTGATGGTCTAAGTATTACTTACAGATTTATTACTAGGTCCATGTAGAAAATAGTTCAATGCTTGTGGGTCTCTAGAAGACAAAAAAAGAGAGAGAGAAAATGGCAAATAAACACATTACCTATATTTAGGATTCAGTTTTACTATGATAAAAAAAAAATGACATATTAGCCTGAGTAAAATTCTCTCCCCATCTTAAAATGATTTTATTAATTTTTGTTTTGTTGATTTATTTATGTTCCATTTCTTATTATCACTCACTTCTGCCTCCTGGGATTTGTAAGAAAATAAATTTAATAAAGAATTACCTAATTATTATCCAAGTCTCTTTGTCTCATTTGTTAAATCCATACTATAGCTAAGATGATTAAGTTTTATTTAAGAAAACCCATCTGGTTTTAATATGCTCATTAGGTTGTTTTAGTACAGCAAACCCCAGACATTTGCTTTACCCTGATTTTGGAACAAGCATCTTACCCAATAAGATCAAGGAGACACGAGTCATCATCATCATCCATGACAACTATAAAGAAAAGGAATAAGAAAGCTCTGTTTCAGCGAAGGAGATTAAAGCCAGTAGCATCCGTGCAACATAAAAATATACTGTGTACTTTTCTAGGTGAAGAACTATTCACGGGAGTTTTTCCTCTACCTGATTCTTATTAATGGGATTTTAAAAATGTTGTGGTCATTCAAGAGATTAAGCATTCGGCCTAGATTGTTCTTATTGAGCACAAATCCTTAACTGCCAAGTCAGAAAGGAATCTAGACAACTCCAAGATAGTTGGCAGCGGCCCCTCACACGCAGATTCCCCAAAGGGATCGACCGTAAAACCATGAACAGGAACTTCCTCCAAACGTAACATGAACAAGGGGAGAGAGCATATTTTTGTTTTAGAGAGTCTTACACAGACAGAAGTCTTTGAATTTCGTGACTGGCTGCTGGCAGGCATGGTGAGCCTGGGCTGCTTGCCGCGTCTTGGATCCGGCAGGAAAGCAGATGCGGCTCTCCCAGCCCGTGCGGACAGGACAGGCACTATGGCCCCAGGCAGCACAGCTATGGGCTTTGCCCCGCAGGCCCCAGGTTCTCCCCTCGGCAGCAGCGTTGCCAACGTCCAGTTCCACACGAGCTGTATCCTAACACTGGAATCTTTGAGGCAGAAAATCTCAACCCCAGAGTCGCCCCACTCCGAGCTCTCCAGCCAACGGCAGCATCACGCTCAGCCGCCCAAGTGCGGTGCTCTGGCTGAAACAACAGCGCCTGTACAAATTCCAAGAGCGGTTTTCCCGCTTTTTCCTCCCTTCCCCGAGATCTGGCAACTTACACTAGTGATCCGACACCTGGCAACACTGCTTCGCACCCATTCCGAGCCATGCGTGGAATAATCTACATCACGGAATGCCAGGGACAAGAGTTCTGGAGCAGTTGGAAAGGGCAGTTGAGAAACGGCAGTTGGACGGAGGAATGAAATCCTGAAGAGATGCCCAGAAGAGGGACACGCCCGATGAAGGCCGAAGGGGTGATTTCTACAAATGTTTTTCTCCGCAAAAACTGCCATCTCCTCTTCAGTTCCCCCAAACTTCCCTTTCTGTCAGTCACAGGCCAAACAAATAGAAAATTGACTGCTGCCACGTGGAAGGAGACTTCTTTTTCTCGGGAAGGGTCTGGAAGGGGTGAGTAGCCCCTGATGTGAGACCTCCCTGGTGGGCAGATTTGTAGGGATGCTGAATGACCCAGGTGGGTGCAATCCATCTGAGTGGAACTTCAGTGGAGAGGGCTCATGATGGAGGGGCAGGAGGAACAGAGGGGCAAGAGCTTACAAAAGGTGGCATCCATGGCTAACACTGTGCAAAGGGGCAGGCGGCTACCTGCAATCTGCTTTGAGGACTCAGATGTGGAGTTTATTCAAGGGCATGCTAGCTTGACTGTACTAACAATGTGACTTTTGAGGAGTGAAAATGGCACAGGAAGGAAAACTTATCACTAGCTGGATATATAGAAATCTGGGTGAAAAGCTTCCCTTAAATCCTGATATTTAATATGGTAGAAATGCATTAGCCACAGCTCATTACTGTACCATGGGCTTGCCTCCCAGACATCACAATCACATGGAACAAATCAGGCAATTACAATGCATAATGAAGCCGATAAAATAGATATCATTTCTTTACCTCAACACAACCATTTAAATGGAGCTCCACTGTATCCTTTATAAATTAATTTTTTCAAGTGTTGGGAACAGTCTCTGGAACAAACTAATAAAAATATAAAAATAGCCTACCCCAAAGGTAAAAGCAAAAAACAAAAATCCTTTCACAGCGATACCAGCTTCCCTCACTCTTTCACACCTGCACCTAGCTCCTCTAGTGGGTGAGACGCTCAAGGGTCGACAAACAGAGAAAGAAGTCAGCACCAGATGCTCCGTCAAGGTGTCACGGCCACTGGGACTTGCAAGCACAGGGAACACTTGCCACCCCAAAGTTCAATGTAACAAGCTACTCCTTGAGTAGCTCAACTAAAGGAGTAATTTCATAATATCAGATGAAATTAAGAGCCATTGTGCATCCTCCCCTACCAAGCCAAACGGGCAGCTCAAACACTTGACAGAACACTCTGGGGCTGTCCACCCTAGTCTGTGGCATCAGACCTACAGGATAGGCCTCCTCCTCTACCCCTTATAGTCAGGGGCACCCTGAGCATTCTACTTTTTAAAGGGTCACACTCTTTTCTGACTTTAAACAGTTTCATTTAAAAGAGATGACTTTCATCTCTATACCCCCAGCTCTAAGTAGTGCCAAAATACAGTTATAATACAGCCTCATCCAGTAGTTCCCTCCCCTGAAGGACAGACTCCACCAAGGTAAATTTATCAAAGTAAAACTGTAGAAATTGACTACAATTCTAAAGTGGGAAGACAACTTGAGGATCAGAAACTAATGACACAAAAGTGCCAAGTTTAGTTTCCTTTGGAAAGGTTCTAACTTCTGGGCTCTTGTTGAGGCCCATTTCTCCTTAAAGTAAAAATTCTAGAATCACTAGCTGAGCCTCTGGCCACAGGTGAAATTTATAAGACTGTGTAAAGGACAAGCCCTCCTCTAAGGGGAAATCCCCAGACCAGTGGTTAAAAATGACTTTTTGACTCTAACACACTGGGGCAAGACGCATTGTCCTCAGTGACAGCAGCTTACAACAGGATTTGTCAGGCGGTAAGTGGACTACAGTTCTTACAGAATCCTGATAGGTTCCCTAAGAGTTCAGAAAGCACTGCTCCAGACACCTACCAATCTTAAAAAAGATTAAAGCTAATAATTAAAATTGTTTTCAACTGAGTCAGCAAACACTTTGAATAATGGCTTTTAATCAAGAGGACATCGTGTAAAAGTGACATTGCAAATCAGTGGGGGAAAGATGTTATTAGTCATGTGGAGAAAAATAGGTGGGTCCATACCTCACATCCTACACAAAAATAAATTATAGGTGGGTCTAAGAGTTAAATGGGGAGAGAGTGGGGGAGAACCTTAATGAACTAGAATAAAAAATAGAATAACACATGGGAAAAATTGTTTTTTAATGATCTTGGAGTAGGGAAATTCTGTGACAGGAAAATGAAGTCATAAAAGATTGACAAATGTGATTACACAAAATTTTAAAATTCTGCATGATAAAAAAACATGAACAGAGTAAAAAATTACCAAAAAAGAAAGCAGGAAAAATACTTCTAATTCATATTACAAAGAACTTTTCTCCCTAGAAACACAGAGCTCCAAAAAGGAAAAAATCAGATACCCTGCAGAAAATCAAGTATGAATCAGCAGGAAAGACAAGTAGCCTCTAAATATATAAAAATAATGAAGCTGAGAATAAAAAGTATAAATTAAAATTATAGTGAATTATTATTACTTTTGAGATTGGTAAAGATAAACAAGTTTGATTAAGGACTATGCTGGTTAGGGGCTAGAGAAACACAAACTTTTATACTTTGGTAGTGAGAGTGCAAACTCATATAACCTCTGTGGAGGGCATTTTAATAATATCTTTCAAAATTGTAAGTGCACAAATCATTTCACTTGGCAAATATTTCCAGGCATATGTCCTACAGATATTCTTGCACATGTGTGAAGTGGTATGTACATAAGAATATCCAGTGCAACAATATTGGTTTTAGTGAAAGACTGTAAAAAACTAGATGTTATGGGTAGTTTCTTTTTGGGGTGATAAAAATGTTCTGGAATTAAACTACCGAACTGTGCATTTTAAAGGATGAATTTAATGGTATGTAAACTGTATTTCAATTTAAAATAGTTTAAAAAAAACCATAGATGTCCCTGGTGAGAGGCTTGTTAAATCGATTATGGGTCACTTACATAGTAGAATGCTACACAGCCATTAAAAATAATGAAGCAGCTTTATGCAAATTGACTTGGAACGATACAGGGTCAAAGGAAAAAGGTGCAGAACAGTGTGTACACTACAGTATGTTCAATCTTTCCTCTATCTTCTTGAACTTATACAAAATAGTGATAAATATTTAATGTCCTTCTCTACTAATTCTATCATTTGTATCATTTCTGGGACTGTTATATTGATCCTCATTACGGGTAGTATTTTCCTGCTTCTTTGCATGCCTGATAATCTTTGATTGGATGCCGGACATTGTTAATTTTACATTACTGAATACTGGATATTTTTGTATCCTTACAGATATTTTTGAACTTTCTTTAGGACACAAGTTTCTTAAAAACAGCTTGATCCTCTTGAGGCTTGCTTTTAAGCTTTGTCAATCTTTAGGACTAATTTTGCACTATACTGAGGCAATACCCTGCTATGTATTTCCTTGATGTCCCATGACTTACAAGGAACTTTGCACTCCTACAGATGGGATCACAAACCATTCTCTGTCCTGTGTGAGCTCCAAATGTTGTTTCCTCTAATCCTTTTGGGTGGTTCTTGGACTGGGGTAGTTCCCCCATAGACATGTACTCATCAGTTATCAACTGAAGACTCAAGGGAGACACTCTGCAGCTCTCCACGGTTTTCTCTCTGTGCAGCTTTCTCCTCTGTACAGTACTCTGCCCTGGGAGTTTTAGCCACTTTTACCTCCCAGCTACATCAGCTCAACTCAGGAAGATGACTGACTCCTTCTGGGTTCCCCTTCCCTGTGCATGGCTTGGAACCTCTCCAGACAGTCAGCTGGGGCTATTATAAATAGAGATTATCCTTTGTTTTCCAGTTCTCAGGAGTCACTGTCCTGTGCTGTTTAATATCTAATATCTAAAAACCATTGTTTAATATATTTTATCCAAAATTTAACTATTTTGTGCATAAAGGTAAATCCAATCTCTTGTTACTCCATCTGGGCCCTACAATCATTTTTAAGCTTTTGAAAAAAAGGAGGTAAGAATGGTTTATATGAGTTCGTTAGCACAAATTACAGGATCAGAGTATCCTAAAGTAGGGAACAAAGGAGAAAGGACAGCAAATGGTACAGCGTTATCCCATGTCTCCTTTAGTTCCTACACTGAAGAAAGGGGAAAGCTGCTTAATTCCTATCTTTGAAAGTTGTTAAGAAAGGAACAAGATAGCAGTAGACTCACAGACACTGAGCGGTGACTGGTGGTTACCATGCAGGAGGGGTTAGGGTGGGTGGGTGGGGAGGGTGAGGGGGATAAAGGGCACAAAAATTCTCACACATAATATGAGGTGGTCACAGGGATGGTAGGACAGCATGGAGAATATAGCCAAGGATTCTGTAACATCTTCCTATGTTGGCAGATAGGAAGGGGGTGAGGATTTAATAATATGTGAACCACTGTGTTGTACATCTGAATCCAATATAAGATTATACATCAATGATACTTCAATAAAATAAAATAAATAAAGTATATGTCAATGATACTTCATTTTAAAAAAAAGAAAGTTGTTAAGTGGGTGAGAATAATATTCATTACTCATATAACAAACATTTAGTACCTACTATGTTTGTACCAGGTACTGTATTAAGGGCTGGGACTAGCAAATTAGTATGACATAAAATGTAATAAGTATGTTTATTTATAAAAATGTTAACATTTTTATAGTACTACAAAAGCAAGGCTGAAAACTAAATTATAATGTTTAAGCAAATGATATTCCAATGAGCATCATGATCCAAAAGTTATGCCATAAAATAGTCACTTACCCAAGGTAAGTAACTGTTTGAATCAATTAGTACATAAAGTTCTTTCATTCTTTTTATTATATTGTAATTACTATGGGCTCTTCAAGTTTGTAACTGCAAGAATGTGTGAAACTTTCTGGCATAGTTTCGGATTTTAAGGAACTTAACTCTCTTTTGGAAGAGAGACAGGCAATAATTCATTACAATCCAATGTAAGAAGGAAGTGCTCGATTTTTTGTCAGGGGTTCCCAGCTTCCTCAGGTGAAGTCACTAGGCTTTTCTGGTGAAATAATATGACATTTTGCTGGAAAAAAACATGACTGTATTTTCACAATTACACCCATTTGCAATGAAAAGATGCTGTCAAACTCAACATGATGGGCTCTGAGTTTTCTTATCACTATTTAATCAAGAACTTCATTAATTTTGT